TGTCATACTTTGGTACTCTAAAGGATATAGTCCTAGATTTAACCCCCCCCAGTAATGAAACATATAAAACTTACCTATTTTTTCAAACTGGTTGTAAGGATAAGTAACACATAGCAATGTCTGGCCATTACGTCTAGCATTGTCTGGCCAAGTGTAGCCTTTAGATCCAGGTATAGGGAATTTGGGTACGCTGTGAACCAGCCAGAATCCAGTGTAATCATCAAAGGCAACAACACCTGTAAAATTGGAGAGAAGACGCATTAATCTCAACCCCTAGGGTGTGGATGTGAATTCATACTGAAACCAGAGGATTTGGGAATGTAAGGGCTTACCCTTCCCCACCCCCATGTAGGCTAGAGAATCAATACAAAGACAGGGCATGTAAGTTGTTGTGGCTAAAGATGCATTGCTTGAATTATTGTGTAGGACAGTGCACTCCCATTGGAGTACAGGCATGAAGGAGGAACCTCAATGGTGCATGTGACTGATAACCATTTAATGTTGGGTTTTCTTCCCTGAAACGCTGCTGGGTGTAGGTTTTTGTGGTTTGTAAATTTTTCAACCTTGCAATTTCAACTGCAAGAATGAAAAAAAAATTCTAAATGAGTCCATGTGTCCTCGATAGAACAAAGGGAGAAGTGTGCATGTTTACATGTCATCTAGAAACAAGTGGTTCAAGTTAATGGACTCTGTGTCGTAGGTCATATAACCAAACCTTGCTTTGACTATGCTCCGATTCTTTGCGGAGACCGTGATCTGAATATTCGTAAGCATGTGTACAGTGATCCTTATGAAAATGGAATGGGAGAAAGAGGAGATATAAAAGCCAAATGTTGCTGTAAAAAGACCTCAAATTGGAAAAAAGTTGACTGATGAATGGCTAAGAGGTATATGAACATGCTGAAACAAGATCAAAAACTGAAGTCAGACATCTCAAAAAGGAGTAACATTAACATGGATAATCCCTCCAGTAAAGTCCCAAAAGGACATCCAATTGCCAAATCTTCCTAGTTTAGTTACCTTTAGAATGCCCAATAAGACCTGACTGGATCTCTTCCCCTGCAGGTGGTTGATCATTGTACATCAAATAGGCAAAATTCTGGAACAGAAATGAGTGTGTTAAAATTAACTGGGTGTGTATCAAGTCACATAAAAATGTAATATGAAACAGATTGAGAATTTAAAGTTGGAAAGGTGTTTGTAACTTTTAATTTGTAAACCTTTATTTTGCCCTAGCAATGTCATTCTGAGTTTCCTCAAGTTTCCAGAGTTACGAAGCTTCAAACATATCTGAGGTGAAGTAATATAGGCTTGATAAATTTGACCCAAAAGTGGTCCTGTGTCCACGATAAATACCTTTTCTTGGGCTTTCCACCAATAAAGATGGCTAAACTGTCTTGGGTATTCATGAATGTTGCTTTTTGAAAATGGATGGCTGTTATTCAGATCATGTCAACCTCTGCCAGAATTATCAGTAACCCATACAATCATGAGGTTAGTTATGAAGATGAAATGTACATGACTACATTAGATAACTTGTATTTCTCCATCTTACATCACTTCCTTGGTTCCGATAGATCTCTTCCAGGGTGTATGCAATGGCATGGTCAGTGTCTTTGAGCGAGGCACTGGAAAGAGTCAGCACTGGATTGTTGACATCCATGTACATATGAGCATACCCATCTTTAATCTCCTGTACTGAGCTGGCTGAGTCTTGAGGAAGTTTGTACACAACAAACCTGTTCAGAATTAGGAAAATTCAGACCCTTCAGAAACTCTGAAATTTAAAACTAACTTGATAAATGATGAAGGGCATCCCCTATCAGATATATTTTTTAGCATTTGTGTCAACAATGTAGCCGGGTACCTTGACAGAGTACGAGATTTAATATAATATCACAACTTTAGAGAAAGAGACATGAAAGGACAGTAAGGACGAAGGTGGAAAGTGTCAGCAAGATTGTGAAAAAGCATGAAATATTAAAATAATGAATGGAAAGAATGAAGTGCACACACTTCTTTAAGAGACATACCAATCAACTGGATATCCATCAGCACCCTTGCACCCCACTCCTGCCTCACTGGTCCCCACCATTATGGCAGTCAAGGCCAAAAATGTGAACGTCATCACACTGCTTGGCATCGTGAAACTCTCACAAGGATTCAACCAAGATCAGTCTAACGGACGTCTTCAAAGTAAAAATGTGGCCAAAATGGACTTTAATAAGTACATGTTTACTCCACGTAGCAGTCGAGACCCAACAATATTTTGAAAGTTTCTAATAACCAGTGTTCTTGTAGTCAAGTACTTTTCAATAACCAAGTTCTATGCCAAATATTCAACTAGTTAGGAGGGAATAAAGCTGGAATACATAGGCATTTCACTTTATTTCCTCCTAACTGGTTGAATATTTGGCAGAGAGCCTTGGTACTCAAAAAGTATTCCACTACAACACCACATAATGAAATGGCTGTTGCATATACTCTGAGGCAGTTTGAGCAGTAAGACCTCTATTTGTAGTACGAGTCCTTTTGAAGGTATCTCCAAGAAGCTACCATCAAAAGAATTACTTTCAACTTGATGTAATAATCAGGGAAAAATAAGAAAGGTTTTGGAAGGGGTGCATACAGTTCAAAATTTCAGTAGAATAGTTCAGAATACAAGTAACACAAAGTATTTTATGAATATTAACTGACACTTCTTTTGTACAGAAGATTAAACTTGATGACAAAACAATCTAAGGTAATATACAGAATCAGAAAGAAGGCCAATACTTCCCAACAAGCAAGGTACTCGTATCTATGATGTCATTTCAGGAAAACTATTTCTGCCACTTCATAAAGACAAAAATCTGGAAGTTAAAAAGTTAATCCCTAGCTATGTCAAAAAGCCTTCTTGGTAGTGATTCATTCAGCGACTCTTACCTTCACAAACTCCCAACTTTACCAAGTTGGTTGCAGAAACTGTGGCGTGAGACAATCTGTCTGTGGTTTCTTTTTCTCCGTGAATTTATAGGAAAATTTTGCACATGCATCGTATTTGAAACTTGAAAATCCAGATGGATTTCCAGCAACCCAGGGTAGCACAAATCCTTTGTTAATTTCCTTGTTATTGACAAAACAGGAGTTGCTGTTAATGACATTTTGCTGGAACATGTCACGAGACGAAACATATTCTTTCCCCCCCTACCTCCACAAAACCTGCATGTGAGAAAGTAATTGAAATTCAGATTTCTGTAAGAAGGGACAAATTTCTATGTATAATTCACACACTGCTGAAGAGTTTCTATGAAGGGAAGCTTTGATCTACCGATGTGGAAAGCTCATACATCACACCATGACATTTTACAAAGTCAAATTTCTATATGGAAAAAGAATATAAGCTGTTTTTTGCTCTTTCCAGTTTCGAAGGGAGTCAGTGTAGTCAACGATTAATCTGTTTGCAGTTTCCTGATGCACTTTAAAAGTCAACAATCTGAACTTTCACATTGGTTTTGACATATCAACACTTGTTTGTAATCTGTCAACTAACAATTTTGAAATGTGAGTTATCTCTAATTCATTTCCTTGTTTAATCATGGCATATTGAAAATGAAAACATAAACAAATGCTTAATGAAAGGGACAAGAAAGGTACAATATAACATCAATTGTACCGAACTTTTCTTGCTTTTACAAAACTTCAAGCATGGGATGGATTTTTAAAAGGATTTGGAGAAGATGTGAATTATGCTGTGAGCTTATTGAGGATATAAACAGGAAAAGCATCATGCGATATCCAAGATAAAGCTAAGTGTGACATGTTATCAAGGAAGAAGGGTGTTTGACAATAAGGGTTTTCAGTGTAAGAAAAAAATTCTGGATACTAAAACTTGTTTTACAAAATTTGAGCAGAAACAAAAGTACACACATCTTTCACTGGGTATGTAACATTGCATCCATACATATCACTCCTGCCTCACTGGTTCCCACCATGGTAGTCAAGACAGTCACAGCCAATCACATCAATATCATCACAATGGTGGACATCATGGAATGCTCTCTCAAGACTTCAACTAATGTCAGTTGCAAATATCTGACTGAACTTTAAAGCAGATATTTTGACTCTGTAACCAATACACTGATCAACTTGAAAAAGCTACATATCCAAAATACAGAATTTGAAGACAAAGTTTGTTGTTCATTTCCTTGCAATCTTTCAAACAGTATCCAATAGAAGTCATTCAAAGAATTATTGTCACTTTCAATGAGGTAGGACTTCCTACATTGACACATTTAAAATGTCAAATGAATGGACCATGATGCGTGCCATATATCCCCAAATGACAAACTTGGTGACAAAACAAATCCCTGTCCACAGGACCACAGAGGACAAAATGTATGCAAAACGGTTATGACACCAATGTCCCTTCTGCATATCTACTAGATATGAAACCAACACAAGTGTGTCACGGGAAACAAGTCAACGCCTACCTTGTCAATGGGTCCCTTTTTTTTTCCTTGGGGGGGCTGTTCCATCAGCAACTAGCTTTTAGGTCACAAAGTTAGTTGTGAAATTACCAAACATCAGACTTATCTGTGTTTTGGAATAACACGTGACAACTTCGGTCAAAGTTCATGTGCATCATTCTTCACTCTGCTTTATTGCAGGGAAGAAAACAAATCAAAATCAAGAGGGGTAAAATTAACAGGTGCAAAACAATCAATTTCAACGTACGTGGACCGTTATTACAATGTCGGCATATTTTAAAGATAAATTTAAAGGTGCTGAAAATAGAAAATTTGTGGACGGGCCCAGTTCAAAACATTGTGAGAACTGTCAATATCCGTCCATGTTCTATGCAAGCGCAAACAGGGTACTTGTGGCAATCTTCTGCAGCAAAAGCACATCAGTCTCTGCCAGTGTCTACACCAAGTCAGGAAAGGTGGCAGCCTCCAGTGAAACCCCGGTTCAGATATTCTCATGGCCCTCCATATGAAGTCCCTGCCCTGACAGTCTCGGTCTCCCTGGATGGTGTAGGCTTGGTGTTTGGCTGGGAGCACTTGATCCCTTGACACTGAACCAAAGTCCTCCCATACTAGTAGGCTTGGGTGGTGACTGAGGGTAACGCCGTCTGGCTAAATATTTCTCTCAAACAGAGAGCCCTAAAACAGAGAGTTTCATGCAGACTTACAAATATGGTCTACAGAATAAATCTGGTGGCACTAGCTAATCCTTACCACTGTAGGGCTATCTATCCTTGATGGGGGGGGCATTAATTTACACCTTTTTTTGAACATTGTGTCTATTATCTTATTCCATTTATAAAAACTCAAAAGGGAAAATCCTCAATCCATCAATTCCTTTAATATTTTGTTTTGCTTAAAACTTGGAGAAGACATTCGATATTGTGGCCCCCCAAACCAAACTCATGGGGATACATGTCCCCTGTCCCCCCAGGATTTCCGCCCATGTATACACCTAAAACACAAAATATCACTAAATCTAATATGAAGTAAAAGTGTATCTCAAATAGGGCTAAACCAGTCTTCACCCAACATATAAGCTTGCGGGACGTAAAACATCATATCAGTTCAGAGGTTTTCATTGTCACACAAAATTCTGCTCAAATCCAAATAAACTCCCCAAACTGCCAAAACTTGAGCTTCACTGCAACAGGTGCCGTTATGCTTGCCAACTAGATCAAAAAAATATACAGTTGATACGTGATGCCAAATAAAGTTCAGAGAATTCGTCATTGGTTTAGCATTCCAACAGTTCAAGTAGAAAATACATAGTTTCAAGACATCTAGCCTGCTGATGTTTAAATGACACAGCTTTGATGATTTTCCTCTCAAAATATCATCAATCTTACTCCATATACAAGTAGGAACAAATGGCACCTCAAAGCAATTTGAATCAGATTAGATAAAGAAATTACTCTAGCAAAGTTCAAAGAAGAAACGTTGAATTTAATGAAAGAAAAGTAAAAGGGAAAACTCACTAATGGAGGCATATTCATAGTCATAAATACTAGGGGCTATAACTTGGATTGACCTAACTTGGGCAGGGGTTATGCTTAGCCATTTATGGCTAATTTTTAACATCTGTAACTTCCCTGAGGCAGGGTTCAAGCTGGCCATTGGCGTGACAAATCCCACATGGATTTTCTGTTTGCCAAACAGTCCAGCTCAATTTAAAATAATCTGAGCAGCCTACCTTGTTGTCTTCACTCCTGAAACTTCCAGACGTTCAAAGTCCAGGGTAGTAAAATTGGCTGAGCGATTGCCCAGGTCTGTATGCTACAAACAGTCCGCTTTGATGTGAACAAACCAAATCATGGCTATGCTTTTTCAAGATTTCCTGCAGAATTGCAATGAAGTGCATTGCTGTTACTCGAAAAAATTAAATGTGATGTAAAAATGAGTCCCATGTCACTGCAGCCACTTTTTGAGTTTTACTCTTTATTAGATTGAGGAAAGTGAGCTCATTGTTTTGATGTGTCGTCAGTCAGTTTGGTATGATGAAAATTGACTCTGTGTTGAATTTAAAATGTTGAGTGGTCCTATATTGATTGAACACTGCAAGATTCTAACTCAAAGTGGTTCTGGTGAGATGTGACTCATTTTTGCAGAGTGTGTCACAAATATCAAAACATGATTAAAATAATTTGACATACAGGTATCTTTGTTTGACTTCTAAGACACCAAGGACTTCATATTCATTCACCTACCCAGCTTCAGCCCTTGATTAAAATCTCATCAACTTCACAAATGCATTGATATGAAACTTGTTTCAGCCTGCTGACATGTTGACCAAAGGCTGACCTCACCATGGACAAGAGATATTCACATTCCATCAACTGTACTCCCAGGACTGCAAGGGTCTGCTCTGTTTGATGAGGTGCAAGGTTCTGAAGACAAGAAAAAGACAAAATAAAGGCAAGGTAGAAGACAAGGATCAGAGTAACGCTTCTTGAAGATGCCACACGTCTACTGAGGGTTTGTTACCATGGTGATGGGATGCTTGGAAGCACTTTGAGAGTCTTGAGAGCTGTGGAATTGAGAAATTGAAGAAATATGGCAATGAACCTCTGGCCTAGACTGAGGGCTTCCAATTCTTAGCAAGTGAGATGCAAACAGGTCCGAAAGTGGCACAATATAGCCTTTTGCAGAAGAATGCATTTTCAAAATGACTGCTTTTTGGGGCAGTGAAATTTCCTTCATTTTAGGTGTGGTTTGCATTTGGTGAGAATTTCTCAAAAATTCATCAATCAACCCACTAGAAATTGAACGGAAAATAAAAGAGGACATGTCAAACATTTTTCTGTTCAGCCTGGACACCCGTGGGAGTTGTGGATTATTTTGAACATAATTTTGAAATATAAGGATTTATCATTGGTGCCTATGGGAATTTATTTCAGGGGTACACCTATACTTCACCCAAGTTTTCAGTTGGTTCAAGGATAGTTGAGGAGTTTGTTAATAATTGTCAAGATGTTTATTAGAAGGAAACATGTCAAACTTGCTTCGAATGGCTGGGAGTTCATGTCTGTTGGATGTTTTTCTCATCAATACACTTTGCAATTTTGTAAGTTCAGCTGAATGCTTTACCACCTGAAAATGGATACAAGTAACTCTGTCCAGACCAGAAAAAGCACACCTTGCTCACTTTTTATTGTCCATATTAGAACATCACACCTAATCCTCCAAAGTACAGGATAAAAAGGCAAGGTTGGGGGTTCGAATCCATTTAGTGGCAGTGATCTTGGGCAAAACATCCCAATGTGCCAGTCTGCACCCAGCGGTAAATGGGTACCTTTGAGGGCACATATAGCTGTTTTGTATTTCAACCGATAAATAGCATCAGTGGGCTGATGTACTCCCAGGGAGCCGATGAGATGATCTTAAGAAAAATCAAATGTTGTGAGCCCAATGTGCAGGGATAATGATGATATATTGGCTCCTTTGAATTCCAGGTACTGTAAGATACTGTGCGCCTTATAAGTGCTTGATATTATAACAATGAATATTCATCACACTCGCTACAACATAATACACAACTCAACACTAACAGTTAATACTATTACAAGAATTTTCTGAAATTGGAAATGAAAGAACAAATGTCCTGGCAATTAATATATTGAAATGAGCATTTTACATGTTCAAATACAAATGTAGGCTTCATCATTTGTGAAATTGGAATCACAACAGAACCAGTTCAGTTGGCTGAGTAACAGTGCGAGGCAAACTGATTCAACACAAATGAAACTGTGGTGTAACTCGGGCTAATGTGTGCGGCATCTGGGGCACACACATAAGTTGCAGCTGCATAGCTGTAAAAAAATCAAAATCCTTAGGTCCAAAATCTTTAGGTAAATTCTTACTACCATGCTCACTACCACACTAGTGTCACTACCATGCTCTAAATTCTAATTATAATAATAAATCCTACGGATTAAGACTGCGGAGACATTTTCCTTTAAATGAGGATTACATGGCAAGTAATAATTTAACAGAAAAGTTTGATCATTAAAATCATCTGCAAATTTCAATATAAATAATCAATCTTAAATTCTGTCCCTTCAAAGTGAACCAACACCAAATTGGGGGTGTTTGTCTTATCTCAGAGATTTAGGTACATGGCTCGTACTCAGCCACAGAATCATAAAAGGCCTTGTGGACGTTTGCATTCTCCAAACAGACTGCACCGCCACCACGATACATTTGAGAGGTCTGTCAACAAAAAATAAACAGGTGTCACCAAAAATTATCATGAAAGGAACCGGTGATATTGTGGCAAGAGAAAGTAACATCTTAAACAGCATTTATATGGGATGTGAATGACCTGCTGAGGTCAGCCAAGTCAAGGTAGATGAGATTATGTTATGGCAGACATACCTGACGATTGATACCTCCAATGCAAGTCCACTTCTGGCCAGGCTTGGTAGTCACTGCCCACTTGGAGTGATCTTTGGTGCCCTTGAAATCACTTCCACCACTCAGACTCACTTTCATGACATTGTAGACATTAAGGCCTCCTTCACAAGAAGAATTGAGATTGCGTTCCCCATTCTGCCATGTCTCACAGTACAGGCCACTCTTGAAATGAGTAGCAAGCCAATCTTTATACAGATCTGAGACAGAAAAGCAAAAAATGAGAATCAATAAATATAAGGTGAGGCACTGAGTAGTAAAGAAAGCCTGGTAGAAAATACATCTGAGAATGAAGTGTGCAGTTGATGTTTCCTGTTTGTAATGCACGGAACATATTGCATACACTATCCTCCATCTTGAGTGGGAAGTTGGTTAACATGTTTGCAACCTGAAGGTGTAGAAGACAAGGTTATTATATATATTAACTGTATAAAGAAGATGTATATTTCACAACTTCTTGATGAATTTTGTCCAAAGTCATTTCCAAATTTAGTGCTGCCTCTAGTTGAAACCAGCTACCAGTAACCTGAAATTAGGTTCCTCATGTGAATGTTCACTAAATTTATTCACATCTTCGAAGGAAAACTATACCCACCTGCCCCCCATTTGCTAGCTTTGTTAAAGCTGTCAAATGACTGCCCACTTCTGGACTGCAGATTCAATTGACGATTCCATGGAGGGGATGTTACATGGATGTTGTTCACCAAATCCACGATGCTGGGGGTTTGGCCAACCAACCTAGAGGGGAAGTCACTGTCATAGACTCCAGGATAGTTGTACTTCAACTGCTGACCTGGTGTAAGAGAGGTTGAAATCAATTACAAAGGCAAGATTGTTATATTGGGTTTAAATTATAGCTGAGTCTGAAACAGATGTTCAGATCAGTTATGTCTACTTGTCAGTATTAACCAAATTAATGGCACTTGATAAAGATTAGGCCTTTCTGTATTGGCAATGTTAGGCCAACACAGAAAGCAATAAGTGCAGCATACAGCACGCTGACCCTGGAAGTAGTAGTGAAAAATAACAATGGAAGACTCTATGCATGTGCAACCATGAGCATAATCACGCCAAGCATTGCCATAAATATACAGTTAACGGTAATTTTTTTGCTTTGGTGAGCATCATTGCTTTTTCTAAGCAGTGTCATGAAGTTGGGTCCAGCACATTGCTTGCTGGAAGTATAGATGTCTTCAACATTTTAATTTGGAAAGCTGAATATACCAAAGTGAATACATCACATGCTCAAGTACATGTATGTTTGAAAAAGACATTAGCATGAGAGCCAGTGCGTCAGCCAACACATGCACATACTCCATTCATTTGCAGTACAATTCCTGGTTCAAATGACTTCACACTTAGATACTCATTAGTAAATAGTCCTAAAGTCAAACTCAACATCCCTCAGTTAATGAAACTCCTCCTATGACATGTAAACTTTACCTATTTTTTCAAACTGGTCGTATTTGAAGGTAATGCACAGCAATGTCTGGCCATTACGTTTGGCATTGTCTGGCCAATCGTAGCTTCTAGATGCGGGTAGAGGAAATTTAGGTACGCTGTGTACCAGCCAGAATCCACTGGTACCATCAAAGGCAAGGACACCTGAAAGAGTGGAAGGAAGACACCTGGATTAATTAGGCCAGAGAATTATACAAAGATAGGGCATGCAATGTACCAAAGCTGTATAAGCCGTATGATGACACATTGTTTGAATAATTGTAGAGTACAATGCAGCGGCCCCTATTTGAGCACAAGTTCAAGTTAGAGGTTGTCATGGAGAGTGTTTTTGTAGTGTGTGTAACGATAGCTGGTCTAGCGCCCTCTATCGATGGGTTCAGAAGAAAACTTGTAAGTTAATGGCCACTGAATAAAGTACAACCCAGATCTACATGTATCTAAATCACCTAAATCAAGTGTCATCTTGTGAGGACCTACGAACTATTACAGTGTGTATGGGATAAATAGCCAACAAAGTCTCATTCGCTAACCGTGCTGTATGCAGAACTTTGATTATTCTGAATGTTTGTTATTCTTGGTTGAAACTTGGATTGCTTTTCATGGGTCTTTGGCAGTCAAGATGGTTTTGTGTTGGGCAGGGAACGACTAAAAAAAATCAATCAAATATCCAATGACCCCTGTGAAAATGGCACATGAAAGCCCAATTCTTCTGTAAAGAGACCTTTCAAATAACTTAAAGTTGACTGATTGTTTTAATCTACAGACTCAAACAAAATCAAAAACTGAAGTCTGAGATATCTCAAGAAGACTGACATTAGAACCAAAATGCAAGGGGGTATCCATAGAATCCATCCAGTAAAATCCTAAGACGATATTAAATTGCAAGCTCTTCCTACTTCAGTTACCTTTAGTATGCCCAACAAGACCTGACTGGATCTCTTCCCCTGCAGGTGGTTGATCATTGTACATCACATGTGCCAAATTCTGCAACAGAAATAGGTGTGTTTAAATTAGCTGGGTGTGAATCAAGTGCCCTAAACAACCATGGTTTTGGTTATGAGGACTAAATGTACACTTCTACATGACAAAGCTTCTATTTGTCCATCTTACCCCTTTTCCGTGGTTCTTATAAATGTCATCCACTGTGTAGGCAATGGCATGGTCATCGTCTTTGAGTGAGGTACTGGAAAATTTCAGCGCTTGATTGTTGACGTCCATGTACATCTGACCGTACCCCTCCCTAATCACAGGTTTTGAGCTGGCTGAGTCTTGAGGAAGTTTGTACACGATAAACCTATTCAGAGTCAGGAAAATTGAAAGCATTCAAAAGNATATGTGCTTCCCTGGGAAGCACATATCTTTTGATTTGTTGATTTCCTTGTTTATGGTCTAAAAAGGAGTTCCTGTAAATGACATTTTGCTGGAACATGTCACGAGAGAAAACACATTCTCCTCCAACCTTCTCAAAACCTGCGTGTGAGAAGGTAATTGAAATTCAGATTTTTGCAACAAGGGACAAGTTCACGTGCATGATCAAAACACCACTGAAGAGTTTCTATGAAGGGAAACTCTAATCTACCTATGTGGAAAGCCCATACCATGACATTTTATAAAGTCAAATTTCTATACGGAAAAAAGGAAATAAACTGTTTTTTCCTCTTTCCAGTTTCCAGGTGAGTCCAATTTATGTAGTTGATTTATCTTTGTAATCCAAACCTGCTGCAAACTTCTTACAAACAGTCTGAACTTTCATGAAAGTTGGTAACATTGGTAATTGGTAACAGTCAACTCAGAGTTTTGAAATGTGAGTTCTCTCATTTTATTTTCTTGTTTTTATGTCCTTTTTGAAATGAGAACACAAACAAATGGTTCGTGAAAAATTCCTGTAAGATAGGTAAAAATTAAACACCATTTGTACTTAATTTTTCTTGCTTTACAAAACTTAAAAGTATGAGATGAATTTAAAAAAGAGGTAGAGAACTGTCAACTTATTCATTCAAAGAATTATTGTCACTTTCAATGAGGCAGGACATCCTTCCTACATTCACATATTCAACATTTTAAACGAATAGATCATGATGCGTGCCATAGATCCCCACCAAATGACAAACTTAGTGACAGCACAAATCCTTGTCCACAAAACCACAGAGGATATAAAGTGTAAGCAAAACATTTATGACACTAATGTCATTTCTGCATTTCTGTTTTAGATATTAACCCTTGTAACCAACAGAAATGTGACAAGGGAAATGGGACAAAGCCTACCTACATCAATGAGTATCTTTAATTTTTGTTTGCAGCTGTTCCATTAGTAACTAGCTCTTAATTCCAATACAAAGTTGGCTGTGAAATTACCAAACATAAGAATTATCTGTGATTTGATGAGGACAAAATAAAACCTTTTGATCTAATCTGATGTAAAAGACACAGATGACGGAAACAACTTATGGCTGATATTGAACAGCTGTAACTTTCCCTGTCTTCAGAGCTGAATTTAGTAACCCAGACGTAGTGTTAAGGATGAACATTGGCTTGATAACTCCCACATGGTTTTTCTGTTTTCTTACCGTACAAAACACTCAAGCCAAGTAATATTTAACACATATTCTGAACAGCCTGCCTTATTTGTTGTCTTGACACCTGGAACTTCCATAGATGCAAACTCCAGGGTAGTAGAATTTGCAGAGCAAGGACCCAGGTTTAAAAATACCAAATGTGACCCACTCTGTGAAAAGAAGTCACGTCCGACTGGAGCCACTTTTTGAGTTTACTCTGTATTACATTAAGGAAACTGAGTTCATTTTTTTGATGTATCACTCAGTTTGGAATAATGAAAATGGACTTTGAACAGAGTTTAAAATGCTGAGGATTCCTATTGCTTAAACACTGCGAAAGATTCTTTCAAATGCCTTTAAAGTGGCTCTGGCAACAGGTGACTCATTTTTGCAGAATGTGTCACAAATATGAAAACATGATTTGGCATACCTTTCCTCACCAAGTATCATTTCATAGGATTCAGTTGTTTGGCTTCCAAGACACCAGGCACTTCATATCCATTCACTTTGCCAGCTTTAGCCCTTGACTTGCATCTCAGCATGTTATCAACTTGAGGAATACACCAATGTTAGACTTATTTCAGCTTACTGGTGAGATGTTGATTAAACGTTGACTTCACAATTAGAGCTTTTTACTGCCAGGCAAGAGATACTCACACCATAAAATCCACTCCATGATTTGCTCAACAAACTCCCTTGGACTGCTAGGGTCTGCCCTGCTTGATGCGGTGAAAGGTTCTGAAGACAAGAAGAACGGAAGACATAAATACAAGGTAGAAGACCAGGATCAGAGTGATGCTTCTTGCAGATGCCACATGTCTGCTGAGGGTTTGTTACCATGGTGATGGGATGCTTGGGAGTTCTTTGCCTTGGATCTACAACTTTAGGGTAATCAGTTGGAGCATCATGTTATTTGTACCAATGAACATGATATTTTCCATTACTTGAGAACTTTAAATAGCTGAAGAATGTATAAATCAGGTCAAAAGTTCATGCAAAACACTAGGGACCACAGAAAGCTACATTTTCATAGCATTCCAATGGGTCAAAATAAAACGATATGGCGTAGGTTTGTCAGTGATAGATGGTCATATGCTAAACAATAAATTCAATCAGAAATTCCCAGAACTCATATTTTCCTTCTTCAGTATTTCACTCACATCTGTTCTGGAGGTAAAATCCAAAGTGAGTTCAAATCACTTTTCAAAAGTGATTCAGTTCTACAAATTATCTGACAAACAAACATAGCTTGAATTCAGTTTTAATGACATTTCCACATCAAATTCAGATGTGAGGACACCAAAATGTTGGAGATCCTCAATTTAAAGAATGACCCAGTTACACCTGTTTTAAGGTTGCTAAGTTAATCAATCAAAAGACAGCATTTCTGTTTTTCTGTCTTGTTCTGTCTTCTGTTTGGGTACAAAATTAACACAAGTACTGAAAGTTATTGGTTTTGGTTGAGTAGAAGAAGCTTATCACAGAAATCCAGGGCCAAGGTGAACAGCTGAAGTTTGTCATCTCGGTATCTACAGTCAATTTACTCTAGGCTTTCTGTCTATCCAAGGATGGCTAAAGGTGTTGCAAACAGTCTACTGAATGTCTGTGACAAATGCCATGAATGTTTTCCTAATCAATCCCAGTACACTTTGCCCTTATTGTAAGTTCAGCTGAATGCTTTACCACTTGAAACTATTTTCAAGATGTATTTTTGCATTGGGGAGATGTTAATTTATATAACGGGTTTTGCCCTTACTCAACATATATATTATTAATAAACACTGTATGCTCAGTGCTTGTTCAAGAGCTTGCAAAAAAGTCACAAGCTTACTCGGGTGGGACTCGAACCCACAACCTCCTGCCTACTAGTGTTAAACACTTGACCGCCGAGCTTGCCGGGGTCGGCTGGCCGGTCCAAGTCAGGTGAAGCAGCGGGTACCGAAAACTATTTTCAAGATGTATTTTTTCAAGATGTATTTAATAA